TTCTGCACCGAGAAATTTAATAACAAAACAACTGTGCCTTACTCTTTTTCTCATGGTTTATAAACTATGTGAAACTCAGTTTACAAAATTCCTCTGCAAATTGTATCCTGAATAAGCTTCCAGCTTTGGACCCGTCAAGTTTATTCCTGTGGAGAAAGGGTACACTGTCTGGTGCAATATGATCTACAAGTTAACACAAGACAAAAACAGAATTTCTTCAGCGCAGGTATGCTGTGCAACACTCAAATTTGCTTTCAACAATTGCAGATGATATTTGATCCCCATTAACATTTAATGATACTTATCCAGACCATCAATATTGGTTATGGGTTCACTTTCATCTTAGTTTTCGTCATCTCTATTGTTTCTGATTTTCTTCTCACAAATGACATCTTGTAAGAATCCTCAACAGAATAAAAACAATAGATATGCATTGTGGTATCATGAATGTTATAGGATCTTTCTTTACAACAAACGTCTGTGTTTTGATTCGGGATACGTATTATCATGGCTGTTAGTCCATCATGGGAGACGTGTCATTCATTGATGAAACGAAGTCTTCAAATGGAAGGAACTCGATAGATTCTTCCTCTATAAACAGTCTCTCAATGAAAGCATCTACAATTTCCAGTCCATCTTCCAGAAGCATTACAGCTTCATCAAACATGTCCTCTGCCGTGAAGTCGTGCTTAGCAATGACCCTCCAAAAATCGTACACCCGCATCCTGACTTCCTCATATTCAAACTCGAACATGCCCATCATGCGGTCTTCAAAGTACAGGTCATCGTCGTTGGAAACGTTAGTGGCGCTGGTGGTCATTTCGGTGGTAGTATATTCAGTTGTGGTTTCCATGTAGTCTTCACTGCTGTTACCATAGTAAGCCTCTCGAAGGGCAGTGACAAGTCTTTCAGAAGTACAAAGGAGGTCATGTATGTCCTCACATTCATGAGTATCGTTCAGAGATAAACTTACATTCGGTGTCGTGAAGGCTGTTGTGGTGGTTATTGTTTCAGTGGTTGTAGATGTATCGGATTCAGTTGAGGAAGAAGTTGTAGATGAATAGGAACTACTTGATGCTGTAACATTATCAAACGGTCCCATCTCAAATGCACGTTTTGCCATCTCAATAAATTCGATAGAATATTCCATAAACTCCTTCAATTCCTCGAAGAACCTTATGTGCATCATGTAAGCTGATACATTATAAGCATCGTGAGCATATGCCCAAAGCGCATCTAATGTTTCAAACGTAGCCCTAGAACCACCCTCTGCCATCATCCGCAAATCATCGACGACCATTGGATGCAAAAGTCTTTCTTCTGCGAGCTTCAATTCTTCCAGCATGAAGATATGTGAATCCAGAGAGACGATTTCGTACCACGTCCTGTCGAAGCTCATTTCCCATCGTCTCATAATATACATGATAGCAGAGCTGAGGTCATGAAGTTCGTCTATCACCTTACTCATGCGCTTATCCTCTTTTGAGTCAACAGGTAATTCCTCTTGATTATCGTCCATTACATCTTCATCGTCACCATTGTTACCAGGATTCCAAGATTCATTATGATTATTTTCAAGTACGTTCTCGTAATGATGTAGTGATCTGGAAGCAGCACTGTAATCAAATATTATGCACCTAAGAAGAGCCATCTGTCGTGCATCTTCTGTTAAATATTCAAGGCGTTCTAGCAAAGTAGTATTGGAGTCAAGGAGACTGTACTGCCATATATGGAATCCTTCAAGCTCTTGCCCTTCAAATGGCATAAATACATCTTGAAGATCTTTCATAAGATGTCTAAAAGCCATTATTGACATGATGTCGATAGCTTCTCTGTCAAATGTCCATTCCATCAAGATGTCACTGCCATCCATAAATTTCATGTTAATCATGTCTAAAACATCAGTAATGTTTCCTGGCATTGGAGAGAAAGTACTTGTGCTGGTAGTAGATGCAGTAGTAGTGGTAGTAGTAACTAATGGTGTGAAGGTACTCGATGAAATGTTAGAAAGATCATCAATTCCATTGATTATGTCTGCCCATTCCTGAGTTCTGGCCGCAACTCCTTCCATGAAATGACGTGCATACTGAAGAACGATGTATCTTGTACTTTCTCTTCCACTTGGATGTAGTGATTTCATTAGAGGGCCAAAGGTGTAGAAAACTTCGTCGATTAAATCTGTTACTTGCATTACTAATGTGGCATTTACTGATATACCATCCTCTGCAAAAGTTCTGATCTCTTGTGCAATGTTTGCTACATGCTGGAAATCAATCTGGAGCATCTCTTCGGAAAACATAGAATACAGAGCTGTAGAAAGGTCTGAGAGCACGGGCAATGTGTCATCGCCATCCCCTTCATTTTCCATAAGTCTAGAGAGATTGTGTGCAATGCTGTCCAACATTAGTTCCAAACCTTCATAACCATGCAGAGTCTGAGATTTAAGGGCCAACTTATGTTCCTGTTCTCTTATCGAAATGTCATACATATCTTTCTCCATATGTTGTAATTTCTCATAATGATATAGGAGAGCCGAGACAAAGCCTGCTGTGTCATCTATGACAGCCATAGCTTCAGCCATATGTGCCTCAAGGTCACTACTATCAACAGATTCACTACCAATAATCGATGAACTGAAGTCATATATCATCTTTCTGCATGCATAAAGCCTCTCCTCAGTGATAAAGAAGAAGCCCATTGCGAAATCTTTATAGCATCTCGCAATTTCATCTATCAGATCCTCAGTATCAACACTTCCCTGACCTTCCAAATTCTTCAGGCTGGAGTGGAGTAGTTCACCCATAGTCCTTACCTTTTCAAGCATAGAATCAGACTCACTAACCATAATCGCCGCTTCAGCTCCTTGACTTATTACTAGGAGCTTACCAAGCAGATCAGAGAGTTTAGACTGTACATATGAGAAATCTTCAATCATTTCTATATCACGACGTGGCACATATCTTAAGAAATTGGCATATTTCATGAGTCTGTCCACTTCTTCACCAGTAAGGAAAGAACTGTTGTGGTACAAGGCTTCTGTAATATTCATGATTTCCTCAATTACTTCAAAAACGTTCATGTCATCATCAATAAATTCTTCACTAATATTTGCTGTCGTAGTTGGAAGAGTGGTAACCGTTGCTTCAGTTGTTGAAGGACTAATTGTGGTTTCATTGGAAGTGTCCTTAAAGTAATCATAGAACTCCAAGTCAGAGAAATATTGAGCCTTGGTCATTAGAGCTTCATTGACACTAAGCACTGCATCTTTCGTCCGTATCATTGCATCTGCTTCCTCAAGAAACTGGAGTGTCCTCATTATTGAATGTTCCATTGCTAATAACTCCCTCATTAAGTGACTGACTTCCAGAAGGTGTTGGATACCAGTACCTTCAGTCACTTGAATACTGCTGAAGTTATAACCTCCGAGTATTTCACCAAGGTTTGTAGGCAACATATCGGCATTTGAACTAATATTGAGAATGAAGTGGTAGGCATCGGTAACCGACTCCTCATCAACAAAATCTGTTTCAGTTACTTCGCCAATATCCATTATAAGAGATTCAAGAGAATACAGTGCTTCCTCCATGTCGTCCATGGCATGGTGAAGTATCCTTGAGGCTCTTCCATAAGAGTAATGCATCTCAGCATAATTGATATATTTCATGGATGTAAGAATGATATAGGCCAGATTTATTCTCAATATTGACAAACCTACCATTCCACTGCCATATTGATGAATTAACCATTTAAACAGCGTGGTCATTGATGATAATTCCATTATTGTATTTCTTGATACAGTATAAAGTGTATTCTTGGCTCTCATGACCTTCATGTTTAGATCTTGTACATCACCTACAAATGTTAATTCTTGAACATTAGGTTCATCATCAAGAATGAGATGTGAAATGTCTGACACTGTTCTTATCATTCGCATCCACATGCTTTTCCTCAGAAGGAACTCTAACTTCTGTACGATGTCACCGACTACTGAGACTAATTCTTCATAAAACCCAATATCAGTATTATTGTCGTTACTACTGATGAAACCAGAACTAATCAAAAGCAAAACTTTTTCTTGAACTACCTCTAGATTGATATCTAATGGATCTTCATGGCCCACTTCAAACATCATGAGTAAGCCATCCATGTCCTCGAGAAGAGTTGTATTAATTGTCATGTTGATCATTAACTGATCTTGATTAGCTAAGAAGGCTCCAAACAATGAGAAGAATTGATGATAAGCTCTTATATCTGCATATGCCATATCTGCGAACACATCTTTTTCGAGTCTTTCAAGAGTAAAGGAGATGCTGTCTACTGCATCAAACAAAATGTGTTTTAATTCATTAAGTTCAGGCATAGGATCAGACCCTTCTAAGACACGGCCTAGGTCCATTAGCTCTTGAACTAATTCCTCATATCCCATGATCTGATACATTTCAACCATGCCCATGGACCACTGTCTAGCAGTGCTTGAAGCATCTCTAGCAATTCTCAGTAGTCTATCAGAGAGGCTGGAATTGGAAGGTGATTCACTTCCGTCAAGGGAGTCAATAAGTATATCAACTGATTGCATAAGATGGTGTAAGACATTAGATGCTCGTATGTACTGGTACTGTTCTTTAAGGCTTACTGTATCAAGAATTGCATTTTCTAAATTTTCAAAGAGGACGTCTTCTAGTCTTGACTTATATTTTAGCATGAAGTCATACCATAGCATGTCAGTAATAGGAATCATTACATGAAGATTTTGGAGTTCCATGAAACTCATCTTCAATTCATGAACTGAGTACATGTCTATGGATGATCTCATCAGATTAACGTTGATTAGGAAATCAGTAAATATGTTAAAGCTTGTCATTTCAGTTGCATTGAAAATGTAATCTTCTGACATGCTGTCATTTGTGACTACCCAATCTTCGATGACATGAATAAACTTTTCCAGAAGTGAAGAGAGGTCAAGGTACGCCATGACCGCATTGCTTCCTCGTGCATATGAAGATATAAGTTCCCTTGTAATATTAATTTTGTCTTGAGTTTCCATAACAAGGATTTCTAAGTTTTCCAGAACAGTCAAATTAACTGAAACAGCTGTGTTATTCAAAAGCATGTCAATAACATCCAAAGAAGAGGCCAAATCACGGATGTTACCACTCTGAATATTGTCAGTGTCTGACAGTATGACTCTTAACATAAGACTAATGGCAGTCAGCTTGTCTTCATTGTTACCTTCTTCCATGTCGCCATTCTCATCACCTGCTGCTTCAGACTCCTCATCCATAGGGCCTCCAGATTCTACAAGGTCGTGTAATTCAACAAGTGCATGCTGAATCATAGTCAGTAGGAACTCACTCTCTTGAAGAATATAATCCTTCTGTGACACTTGCCTTGCCTCTTCTATTTGTGAAGATATCATGCTGTCTTTAAATTCATTTTCAACTACAAGGGATGATTGCCGTGAAATTGCACTCCTGACCGTTTCCTTCGCCATGTCTAGCTCAGAAGAAACAGCAGTAATATCGACATTCACATCTCCAGACTTATTGGTACTGAGAGCACTTAAATCGAAAGCATAAGTTCTGAGGACAGAAATATCCTCGCCCTTGATGGAATGAACACCAGTGAATAGCATGAGCCACTCAGTCAAACTTCCAAGCACGTCTTCAGTTTCGACAGTAATTTTCTCGCTTTCTCTGATAATAAAGAGAATGTCCTCGAGAGACATGAAGATATTGTTGGTTTCCTCAAGCCTGGAATACGAAATTTGGAAAGATGCTGATGATTCCATAGCTTGAACACGCCTGTTTATATTCGCTACGGTTGAAGTGATAATTGACATAGACTCAATAAGGAATTCCCTCTGGAACATGCTAAATACAATGTTAGTGTTGCCTATAACGAACATAGATACAAGGTCCTTTATTTCCATGGCGTCATGTCCATGGAAGTCGATATCACCCTTGGACCACCTCGTTATAATATCAATGATTATGTTAAATGATATGATTGCATCTTCTACATACTTATCTTCATCATTATCCATATCATTTACATTTCCATCTTCCTCTCCACCATCTCCACCATCATCTCCTTCACCTACATCAACACCATCTTCAGTAACACCATCATCTCCATCATTACCATTATCTCCATTTTCACCATCTCCAACATCACCTTCTTCATCACTTTCACCATCTCCAACATCACCTTCTTCATCACTTTCACCATCTCCACCATCACCTCCATCATCAGTATTATCATCCTCAAAGTCTTCGATCATATAACCGAAGAGATAGTCTTCAACAGATCTCATAAAGAGCGACACAGATGATTGGACTTCCTTAGCTTGCAGGATCGATTCAGTGATACGGAGAGTTTCTTCTGTCTGCATATCGACACGGGAATATAACTCTAAAAGATCAATTGCTTCTTTCAAGTAGGTAAAACTAGTTCCAGAAGTTACAGTAATTTCGGAAATACCAAACGATTCTACTACTTCACTAAAGTCTGCCGGGATCAAACGCCAGTCAAACGTAAAGGAAAGAAGATATTCATAAAGTTGTGTTATCATATCATTGGTTTCGTAAGTGGTCACTGCTCCTACTTCCTCTTGAAGATCAAACAGTGCTGCCGATGCCGTGGTTATCGCCGCCCGGGATGATTCAAATGCACCTGACACTGTGCGGATATTTTCTAAACTTTCTTGGAAATGCAGATGTTGTGATGTTTTATAGGTAAGGAGTGCAAGCTGGTTGATAATCCTTGGTAAGTAAGCAATCTCCGAAGTCTCAAATGCAATAATTTCCAAGAGGATTTCAAACCTGCTATGGATATGATGAATTCCAACAGGAGAAATGGAAGTCAGATCAATTGTATTTAACATTATACTGAAGCTGGTCACCTCATTAACCTCAATAATTTCCTCAGACATGGGTCTGCCAAACATTGATATTCTGTTATAAGCTTCTGCCATTACCTGATTACCAGCAGATGTGTAAATTATTTGTTTTTCCAACATCTGTGTACGCTGAACTTCCATCAGTGTCATGCGGACATGTGACACCTGGTATTTCAGTTCAAACACGAGTTCGTCCAGGCCTTCAACGAACATGTCACCTGCCCCTTCTACGAGTAGCATGAGGATATGATCATACTCGCGCAAGAGAGTAATTTCACCTGCAGTATATTCAACTGTATTTTGCATGAAAAGGATAATTTCTTCAATTGCAATGATATTTACTGCTGTTGCATCAGGATTCATGTTGTTTTTAACTCGTTCTACTGATTTCATCATCTCTACCAGTAGAAACAGAGATTCTTCAAGCAAGAACACTTGTGTTGTAGTAGTCTCAATTATATATGACCTTGAAATCTCCATAGACAAAGAAAATTCAACTGATCTGGCTCTCTGGAGAAGATTAAACCCTGTCATGACATTCGTGTCATCAATATTTGTTACATTGAGTTCCATGAGTTCCATAACAGACATCTCGAAGAATGTTACAAATGCTGAGGAGTCTGAACCAGCTCTTTCTATCAGCATCGAGAGACTTTCAAATATAGCAACAGGAATGCCATTTCCTGCTTTAAGTAGAACTTCCAGTTGAATGATTACCCTTGATAATAATCCATGGATCTGCTTCTGAGTAAAGATATTTTGTGAGTATTCTACATCAAAAGCACTATCTATAGTTCTGACCATTAATAATTCTTTTAAATCTTCAATGGCCATTATTACCTTCATTAGATTTCTTATCATCATTCCATTTTCAAATGTTCCAAACTTGAGCTCTAATGACATCAAATATCTATCGAGTTGGTCGAGATCCTCTTCAGAAGCTTGACCATCTTTAATTATCGAAAGAATCCTGAGAATATACTCTACCTCCAAAATTTGAATTGGGTCTGCATCAAACTCGGGTATCCCAACAATGTCTGAAAGGTCAGTAAACAGATCCAGAGCAAAGGCGACAATTTCTTCTGCTCTTCTGTTAATCATAAGTGATACTTCTCTTCGCTGTTCTGCCTGGGAAGTCTTAATTTCAAGGGTAACCTTAGTTGAAACAACTCTGAGATCATCCATGGCCTTCATAATGCCTTTAACATTAGTTTTTCTCATCAGTATCATCTCAAGTTCCTGAAGAACATCTGTAAAGAACAAAAGTGTATCTCTTCTCATACTTACAACACTAAAACTCAAGACTGACAACTCTTCGCCAAACATTCTAATTATCTCATTTTCTATGCTATCTTGTGTTTCAACACCAATTTCAGTAGTAATATTCTCTAGGACGTCAGATATTTTTATAAACAGACTTTGAGCCTCCAGCAGAGTTTCTGTCAATACCAGTCTCTCCATTCGAGATTCTAACTGAGCTCTCTCAATAGAAATACTAGTTACAGCGAATGTAATGGAGCTAATGATTTCCTCAGTTATCTCAAGGCTTCCAACAAAGATAGCTCCTATTATTTCTATGTTTTGATAAATTTCTTCTAATCGTATGACAGATTCTGTAAGCATCATAATATCCATCATAAGTATGTCACTCAGTTCTATCATTCTGCCATCTGGTTCATTATCTTCATTGATGTTTGCAGATATATTCAACAGTGTCTCTTGTATCTTCAGAAGTACTGCTTCTGTTCTATCCAGTGCCTTCAAGGATTCAGTTTCCTCACTCAGACCTGAAAGCACATTCTTGCTGTTTGTAGCTTCTTCAAGTCTGACAGAGGCAGTTGACTGTAACTTTCTAAGATTTGCAATGCCAGTTTCAGTATCACTTAATGCTTCAAGCATTAAGGTACTCTCTTGAAGTATTATGATCTGTTCCATGGTTAGAGATTCTATGGATAAACTTTCAATGAAAACAATGAGCTCATCAACGGTTTCATCATTTTCCACTGATGTAGCAAGTTCATAACCCATACTTAACTCAGAAGCAGTAAGAATTATTCTTTGGAGAAGAGAAACTCCTTTGTTAAATGTGACAGTCTTTACAGTACGATCAATTGATATCTGAATGTGTGAAATTTCCTTTTCCACGGTTTCTTGCACAAGAACAACAAGTGTTCTTGCATCCTCTAAGCCGATTATTCCCATACCAGTACTGATGGTTGTATTCTTCAGGAACATCAATATTTCTTCTAGTCTTATAACAATATCCAGGGAAATAGTAGCACCTCCGTTAATATCAGTGAAGATATTGGTTACTTCTGTAATTTCTGCAATTTCGATTTCCTCATTTGCATTTCCAATTTCTGATACAAAAGTATCGAAAATCTCTTCCATCTCTGATACAATGTTCTTGGCTTTGTTCAGCCTGCTCGAAATACTGCGTTCCTCTGAAATACGTCTAGTATCTTTCAGAGATGTTTCTATACGTCTCTTGACAGATGTAAGTGTTTCTAAAGTATTAGCAATCATATTAACAGCAACTTCATCTTCATCAAAGAGGAAAAATATTTCTTCCTCGAATAATTCAAGTTCCCCAACTAATTCTGCAGTAAGTTCGCCAAAGAGAATAGCATTTAGCACATCGTTCAAATTTCCAATAATAAATGGCATAGTAGTAGATTCCGATTGTTCTATACTGCCGAAGAATTCTAAAGCAAATGCCAGTTCTTCTTCAATTGTGTTGAGAGATGTGACAGATGTAGTAAACTGATCCATTTGACTCCGTGCCTCTTGAGCTGACACACGAAACTGGATCTCAGACTCCAGAACAGACATAGTTTTCTGTGATAAAGACTGCAAATAGAATATGCTAGGGATTTCGACTCCAGCAGTGACAGAACTTTTCAGCACTTCTAAGTCCTCCAACTTGCTCTCAAGTAATGCAATATCTATGGTTGATGACGGCGAACTAGAAACACTTTCTAGTAGAATGACAATGGAAGTGACTAGCTCATTTTCCTCCCCTACTGAAGTTGTTGTTCCAATCATTGAAATGATTTCCTCTACATCAGAGGTGATTTGCGCTACAACATTAAGAATAAGTTCGAAGGAACTTAATTCTTCGATCAGCAAAAATCTATCCTGCTGCTCGTAAAGACGCTTATTAGCACTCTCAATGGCCTCCTGACCAGCAGCCATTAAGTCTACAAGATTTCCAATTCCTTCATCTGGACCAAGCATATCAAGTGTTGCCTGTATTGTTAAGAAAACATCTGTGGCTTCAAATATGTCCTCTTCTGTAACTGAGTCTACATTTGCAGATATACGTTTGAAAAAGTCAATTAAGAAATCAACACTGGGGTCATTTTCTCCAATAAGCTTAGATGCTTCAGCATTTAGAATGAATGTCATCGAGTCAACAAGCAATGTATCTACTGCTTCAATAACAGCGCTTGCATGACGAATGTTAATTGTTATTTCGTAAATTTCTCTGGACTCAGATAAGTAAGTTTGCACAGATTCTTCAGCTTGTGTGGTGGCAAATTCAAGCTCTTCAAAATTTTCAAGCCTTTCGTTTGCTGCAATTATATTCTCAAGTTGGACGGCAAATGTATCAATATCTTGAATATTCACTGACGTAATATTGTTCCTAATTTGGGTCATGGCTGCCACAAAGTTCTCTGTATTGAATTGTGTCGTAGTTGAAACTGTGGTCATCAGTGCCATACTTTCGAAGGCAAAGAAGATTCGAATAAGAATAGATAACAAATCATCTCCAAATATAAGATTCTGAGCAAGATTTTGTTGCTTTTGCTCTGTTTCAATAGTTTCATCAATCTTTTGTGTAAGCACGGTAACTTGCTGGGAAATCTGTTGAATGCTGTATGTATAGCCACTGATGCTGAACGTACCATCAGCTTCAACTGCAAGACTACTTATTTCATCCAAGAATACAGTAAGTGTATCAATGTCAGCTTCTGTCATTGAGCTTGCTTTGCCAATCAAGAATGAGATAGTCTCATAATATTCATCAAGGACAAAATTCTTCTGTACATCCGAACCCTCCTCCACTCCAGAGTTTATAGCAATCAACTCAAGCAGGTAGGAGTTTATTTCTGTAATAGTTATCTGAATGGTCTCATATATACTTAGCTTGCTGAAGGACAGTTCAATTTTATTCACTTCTTTCATAAATACTTGTTCCACACGACTAACCTCTGCAATAGCCTTAACCAAATCTGTAATTTGTATGTCACTATCGATTTCAAAATCTAGAACAAATTCTTCCAAAGTTTTCAAATTGGCTTCAAGAGTTTCCATGTCTTCAGAGGAGATGTTTGTCATCTTTTTGCTTAGGGAAGTTATAGTGGAAACTATATTGCTAACAGCAGATGACTCAGTTAACACTGTACCTTCTGCAGTTAGTTGATTCAGCTCTTTCAAAAGATCAGTGACATAGACTATTATATCAAGTGCATTATATATTCTCACCGTTAAGTCGCCATTTACGTCAGCCTCCTCAATAATCGTAATTTGTTCAGCTAAACTAGTCTGCACTGATGTCAAAGTTTGGAGTAGACTGTCAATGCCAGAATAGGCACCTGATAGATCAGAGATGGTTTCAAGTAAACCTTCCATTATGGAGATTGAAGATAATTTGATGTTGGAAATACTTGAACTCCACCTATTAAGTTCTGTCTGAATGTCTTCGATGAAGATATTAGCTTCTAAAACATCCCCTTCTTCTATTCCTGAACTGAGACCTTCTATGACCAAATAGATTTCACTGATTATGTATTCTGCTCCTAAGAGGATCTCAATCTTCTCCTTGTTCTTGGCAGATTCTTGCAGTGTGTTCAATGATTTTACTGTAGTTGTAACAGCTTTCTTTGTTGTGGTGATCAGTTTATCCAGGGTAGCGCTGCTCTTAATTGCTGATATTGATTCTATTTTACTTTCAAACATTGCAAGAGTTGTTTCTGCTTGTAATATGTCCTCATCATTTGGTGTATATGTCTTTGAAGAGAACTTGTCCATAAATTCTTGCAGATCCTGGATCACAGCCTCCAGAGATGCATCTATTACTGAGCTTGAGCTACTTGAAACTTTGCTCTTTAAAAGAGCTGTAGCTTTCTCTGTGGAAGAGGCAATCGTACTCATTTCCTCAAACAGAGTAATAGTTGTAATAGTTTCCTCTTTGGATTCATATTCATCTATTTTTTCAAACAACTTGTTATCTATTTGACTTCCCTCACGACTGAAGTTATGCTCTGAATTTCTTCTGCAGTTTCCACTAGAGAAAATACGAAGAATGAAACCTCGTAGAATATATCAAGAGATTCAGTAATGGCAGCACGAGAGAGGATTTTTTCAAACAACTTGTTATCTATTTGACTTCCCTCCACGATAATATCATCAATACCAGTAAACCCAACCGACGAATCTACCGAGTCGACGAATGTATTCATATCATCATATAAACTTTCTAGCATGGTCACATCTTCTTTAGTTAGACTAGTTATTTTGATATTTTGAATGAAAGTCAGAGTGTTGGTAATGATTGTATTACTCTGTGTAGAGGTGCTGGATGAAGTTATGCTCTGAATTTCTTCTGCAGTTTCCACTAGAGAAAATACGAAGAATGAAACCTCGTAGAATATATCAAGAGATTCAGTAATGGCAGCACGAGAGAGGGTTTCTTCAATTTTAGTATTCACTGTTGCAGCTAACTTGTTGTTTGCAGATATAAGTTGTGGGAGATTTGTTATTGTAAAGGCTTCATTTGTGAGGATTATTGTAGCTTCTTCTTCAAATGCCTTGATTTCCTGAATTTGTGCTTCAGTAACAGATTCAACAGATGTTTGTAGATTAATCAATAAAGTAATAAGGCTTGTTGTTATTGTTACTGACACGGAGGCTGTTCCTTCAGTGACTGAATTCATAGCTGATGTTAGTAGATCAATTTGTTCCTTAACAATAGATGTGGCAGTTGATAAACTGCCAAGAAGAACTGCTTGTGTCTGGGAAGACTCCATAGCCTTATTCTTCTCCTGTGCTGCTGTAATTTTCGTAGTTGCTGTTGTAATTTCCGATTGTGTTGTCTCAACAAGAGTGATTTCTTCAGAAGTGAAAGTGACGGTGCCTCTCTGAACTTGAGAAATAAGTGTCTGAAGTTCTGTCTCGGAACTAGTAAGAGTTGCTGCAGAAGTGCTGGTGATGGCACCAAGGCCAGACTTTATGATGCCCTGCAAGATTGTTGATATTTTCACAATAACATTCACGCTGGTGGTAATACCACCTGCCACGGGTGAGCCTGCCTGTGTTAATGATTGTTGCAGTGTGCTCATTGATGTTTGGATATCCGTGACCGACTGCTGAACCTTTGTTATCAGCTCTTTCTTTACTGAAAGCTGTTCCTGTTTTTCCTCTCTTTCCACAACCTTGATGAGCTTGCTAGCAAGGCGAACCGATTTCTTTGTAGTCGTTTTGATAATCTTTATGGCAGACACAGACAGTGTACTTCCTGCTTGTATTTCGCTTCGCATTTGCTTAACTGCCGTCGTGGTAGACTGAATGAACACTCTATCGCTGTCAGTAATTCTCTCGATGTCAACCAGCCAGCTCGTAATCTCTACGCTGATTTTGACGATCACTTCGATATTTACGGTAGTGGTGGTGCCCTGCCTCTTTTGCCGAAGATCACGCCGGCGGCGGCCTTTTTCCGCATCGGCTACGGCGTTGTTCATTTCGTTTGCCAAGTCTTGAACTTCGTCTAACACAGACCTGGTTGAGGCTGTCATTGTCGATGAGCAAGATGACATGATGTTAGTTATGTAATAGTGTTAGTGATACAAAAAAAATAAAATAAATAAATAAATAAATATATATATATATATATATATATATATATATATATATATATATATATATACATATATATATTTATTTATTTATTTATATATATATATATAATCGCAGATTATTCTTCAAATACAATACAAATACAAATTATTAGTCAGTTGTAAATATTAACTGCAAGACATATCATTTAATCACTCAGGGAGTGTAAGCAAAAGCAGGCAATATATCATTTCCATGCAATGACGTGTAGTGGAGAAAAGAAACCAGTGCATCAAAATTTAGTTCTGATAAGAACATTCATAAGAAAGGGTGAAATCTCTTGGAAGATAGTATTGATATTCCATATTAAATGAGTGCATGAGTGCAATCAATGAACAGTTAGTTTTTATTGCCTATTCATTATTTCAGTATTTTATGAAGTGTGAAATTTCGCGGAAATTATGAAAATATGAATATGTATAAAGTGGTGTCAAATTAATAATGTTTCCAGTATTAGAAGCAAAATTAACTTATCTGGAATTTAACAGTAAGGTAAACATTGTACTTGGGGAATGTGTGGGAAATCAAAATCTGAACATGCACAACGAAGCAGTGTTTAGAGATGATTATGTGCGAAAGCAAACATGAAAGACAAAAACAAACAACTGGTTTTCCAGCAGGGGTTAAACCCCAGAAGGTGGTTTGTTTAATGGTAAGCAAGGTGTTTTATTGTTATTAATTAAACATTCCAAATGCCAGCGAGTGGACAGGTAGGAAACATCATGGTTAATGGCCCTCTTGCCCTAAATCGGGCAAGGAGAAAAAAAAATTATAGTAAAACGAAAATAAAAAAGCATTTATATTATTTGAATATGAGAAAATTTATCAGCGAAGGATTTAAAGGAAGCAGGGATATTCAGCAGATAATTTTTGTGGAAATGCAGGATAGAGGTAAAAGCTCTGAAACAAGGCGATGCAGAATCAGACTCGATGAATCAGTGAGTTGTGGATCAGGATGATGCGTCTTTAGGCCCACTCTGAAAGTAGGCTCTGAGGTTCCATAAGATTATTTAGTATATCGTGCATGTGGTGCATTTCACTTATCACTAGGTAGTTTGTTATAATACTAAAAGCGCTTCAGTATACTAAACTGGACCAACTCAACAACTGGGAATCCAAGGCTACAAGGACATTGGTCAGCTGAAACAGGTTTGGGTCAGTCAAATGTACTTTTTATTGCAAAATTATTGATGTATATATATATATATATATATATATATATATATATATATATATATATATATATATATATATATATGTATGTATATATATATATATATATATATATATATATATATATATATATATATATATATATATATATATATTTAAAGTATTCTGGATGCATCTTTATGTGATATAGGGATATATGTAAGACATAAATTATGTATATAATGCTTGACTAAATTTTGACATGGCACTTCAAGAGGAGTATAAAATCTACACTCCTATCTCAGGAAACAGCAAGTGTCTGGAGTACTCTGATTCACCAAGCGTCTTTCGAGGAATACATTAAAAAGTGATGTAAAGCAACACAAATGGATGTGAATTTTAAAATTACCAGTCATATGAAATGTCAGATTATTGAGATAAACAGAGAGATGGTGAATTGGAACTCCCAGAAATAAGCCGTGTGATCAAATGGTTTAGCTTTGCTTTATATGCATGTGTCTAGACACACAAACAATATCATTGATGAAAGATAGTGAAACTTAATGCAGTTCAAACAAGGGGATTAGGTAGAAATATGTAATATAATATAGTTTGTGTATGTGTATTGTATCAAATTATATATGTATACATATATTATGCGTATATACACATATTTGTGCGTTTGTATAGATGGAGATGTAAATATATTTACATTATATATTTGTGTTTGTGTGTGTGACCAGAAATAGGGGAGAGGATTTAGATATTAAATATAAACGTTGATTATATATCAGCAAAAGGCGTTTAGATCTTTGATTTATATCAGCTTTTAATGGCAAGCATTGTGAAGGGCTGAAGAGCTTTATGAAAGTCGCCTATCGTAGTTAGGTAAGTGAGCCTCGTTGTACTTCGATGCTCCATGTACTGTTGACAGTTATGACAAAAGTCTTATGTTATATCACATATTAACCTAATACAATTAGATATGTATTAGGTTTTGTAGATGATAATCACAAAATGTGTTGGGTTGATTTTTTAAAAGCGACTTAACACATTCTTGGCAATGAAAAATTGATTTAGCGGACCCATCTGTTGAAACTGACCCACCTGCTGTAGTTGGCTCAGCTGTTGCTGTGCTTGGTCCTTCTGATGTAGTTGGTCCAGCTGTAGTGGTTGGCATACTAGTGGTGGTTGGTCCTCCACTAGTGGTTGGCCCACTAGTGGTGGTTGGTCCTCCACTAGTGGTTGGCCCACTAGTGGTGGTTGGTCCTCCACTAGTGGTTGGCCCACTAGTGGTGGTTGGTCCTCCACTAGTGGTTGGCCCACTAGTGGTGGTTGGTACTCCACTAGTGGTTGGCCCACTAGTGGTGGTTGGTCCTCCACTAGTGGTTGGCCCACTAGTGGTGGTTGGTCCTCCACTAGTGGTTGGCCCACTAGTGGTGGTTGGTACTCCACTAGTGGTGGTTGGTCCTCCAATAGTGGTGGTTGGTCCTCCACTAGTGGTTGGCCCACTAGTGGTGGTTGGTCCTCCATTAGTGGTTGAGGAACTGGTTGAAGTTAGCATAACACTAGTCGTTGGGATATTAGTTGTACTTTGTCCATCTGCAGTTGTTACATCAACTGTTGTTGATAGATCTTTTGTAGTTTGTCCGCTCGTTGTGCTCAACCCACCTGCTGTTGTTCCCCCTGCCGGTGTGGTTCCACCTGCTGGTGTTGTTCCACCTGCTGGTGTTGTTCCACCTGCTGGTGTGGTTCCACCTGCTGGTGTTGTTCCACCAGCTGGTGTGGTTCCACCTGCTGGTGTGGTTCCACCAGCTGGTGTGGTTCCACCTGCTGGTGTGGTTCCACCAGCTGGTGTTGTTCCACCTGCTGGTGTTGTTCCACCCGCCGGTGTTGTTCCACCAGCTGGTGTTGTTCCACCTGCTGGTGTTGTTCCACCTGCTGGCGTTGTTCCCCCTGCTGGAGTTGTGCCACCCGCTGGCGTTGTTCCCCCTGCTGGAGTTGTGCCACCTGCTGGCGTTGTTCCACCTGCCGGTGTCGACCCACCTGCTGGCGTTGTTCCACCTGCTGGCGTTGTTCCACCTGCTGGCGTTGTTCCACCTGCTGGCGTTGTTCCACCTGCTGGAGTTGTTCCACCTGCTGGTGTTGTTCCACCTGCTGGTGTTGTTCCACCTGCTGGTGTTGTTCCACCTGCTGGAGTTGTTCCACCTGCTGGTGTTGTTCCACCTGCTGGAGTTGTTCCACCCGCTGGCGTTGTTCCACCCGCTGGCGTTGTTCCACCTGCTGGAGTTGTTCCACCTGCTGGAGTTGTGCCACCTGCCGGTGTCGACCCACCTGCTGGCGTTGTTCCACTTGCTGGCGTTGTTCCACCTGCTGGCGTTGTTCCACCTGCTGGCGTTGTTCCACCTGCTGGCGTTGTTCCACCTGCTGGCGTTGTTCCACCTGCTGGCGTTGTTCCACCTGCTGGCGTTGTTCCACCTGCTGGCGTTGTTCCACCTGCTGGCGTTGTTCCACCTGCTGGCGTTGTTCCACCTGCTGGCGTTGTTCCACCTGCTGGCGTTGTTCCACCTGCTGGCGTTGTTCCACCTGCCTGCTGGCGTTGTTCCACCTGCTGGCGTTGTTCCACCTGCTGGCGTTGTTCCACCTGCTGGCGTTGTTCCACCTGCTGGCGTTGTTCCACCTGCTGGCGTTGTTCCACCTGCTGGCGTTGTTCCACCTGCTGGCGTTGTTCCACCTGCTGGCGTTGTTCCACCTGCTGGTGTTGTTCCACCTGCTGGCGTTGTTCCACCTGCTGGCGTTGTTCCACCTGCTGGTGTTGTTCCACCTGCTGGCGTTGTTCCACCTGCTGGCGTTGTTCCACCTGCTGGCGTTGTTCCACCCGCTGGCGTTGTTCCACCCGCTGGCGTTGTTCCATCTGCTGGTGTTGTTCCATCTGCTGGCGTTGTTCCACCTGCTGGAGTTGTTCCACTTGCTGGCGTTGTTCCACTTGCTGGCGTTGTTCCACCTGCTGGAGTTGTTCCACCTGCTGGCGTTGTTCCACTTGCTGGCGTTGTTCCACCTGCTGGTGTTGTTCCTCCTGCTAGGATATACATGCATGCTCTTTACAAAAAGACTATTGAACCCTAAACATTACTTCGTCTAATCTCTATTTTGCTCTGATGATGTAGGTAAGCAGTATATACATTTGCATAGGCACAGTCGCGATACGGTTGGACACATGGTCCCGCCAACTGTACCGGCGAAAGGATCTATTACAAAAGGCATCAAGACGAGATTCCACAGCACAAGATAGCATCCAGGTTTCACTACCCTATAGTAAAACTGGCAGTATCAAGGCTTTGATGACACGTAGCTTGGTCCCTCTGCAAAGTTACCGGCATCTCCAAATACTTTTGTCGAGAGATTTCATGACACTTGCTGCCAGGCCAAACTGTCTACTGAATTCCTGGTCTGACAGCCCAAAGTCATGAACTGCACTATCGATGTATATAAAGCTCTCTGTGACTTCGATGTTTTCACCGTAAGCACCGACTGCACAGGGTCTCCCAGTAGGCCCCAAAAATCCTGGATCTTGGTCTTGATCCAGGAGACCTAGGGCTTCCAGAGATTCAGATAGAATGGCAGCATCACCAGCACAGCAAGTTCTGTAACCTTGATATTGCCCAGAGTTGCTCCACAGTGACTTTGGACAGTAGCTCTACCCAGTATCCAATCCATGCAAGTGTTGAAAAGTGTTGGTGCAAGAACACAGCCTTGCCTCACACTGAACTGACAGGGAAGAAGCTTGACAGGCCCACACCACACTTTACAGCACTTTCAGTGCCTGTATACAGGTTTGCTAATGATCCAACAATTCCTCTCAGGATCTCCCAGAGTAATTCGCGATGCACCATATCAAACGTCTTCTTGAGGTCGATGTAAGCTGCGAGCAGCTCACGTCCAAAATCACGACGTTGTTCTACAATGACTCGAAGCGCCAGGATATGGTCTATTGTGGACTTACCAGGAGTGAATCCAGATTGCTCCGGCGGTCTCTGATACGTCTCAGTAAGATGTGCGCGAGTACTTTGCCTGGTACACTGAGTAGTGTATTGCCTCAGTGATTGCTGCAGTCCAACTGATCCCCTTTCCCCTTCTAGATAGGGATGACCACACCCCTCAGCAGGAGGGGTCTGCCACAGATGCATGTTAGGCGGGGGCAGGAGTACAAACCATACATATTTACATATATACATTCAGCTATATGTATATATATATATGTATATATATATATATATATATATATATATATATATATATATATATATATATATATGTATATATATATACATATGTGTGTGTGTAAATAGATATACATACATGAATACATACATAAATGCATATATGTGCCTATATATACATATATATATGTATAAACACACACAGACACACACATATATATATATATATATATATATATATATATATATATATATATATATATATATATATATATATATATATTTAGATGTATGCATGTGTGTGTGTGTGTGCGCGTATGAACACACATACATAAACATAAACATATATAAGCTCAGATTGAGCGTCGCAAGCCACACCCAAAATGACTCAGACTAACCTTTTAGTGACAAAAAGCCTGTTCCTTCGCCACTCACGTACATATGTATGTGTGTGCATATGTGTGTATACACACACACACACACACATATATATATATATATATATATATATATATATATATATATATATATATATATATATGTGTGTGTGTTTGTGTGTGTGTGTATGTATGTATGTATGTATGTATGTATATATAGATATATATACTAATGCATATACATATATCAACGTATACATATATGTGTGAATGTGTATGTGTCTTTGTGGGGTATATATGTATGTCATCATCATCATCAACCTGGGTCAATCCACTGCGTGACGTAGGCCTCTCCCAATCTTTTCCATCCATGTCTGTCTTGCGTTTTTCGTTCCCAGTCTTGGCCCCCAAATTTCGCTACTTCATCGCGCCATCTTGTCACAGGTCTGGCCCCTG